CAATCGGCAAGTCCTGGTCACAAATCATTGGCTGGGACCTGCCGACAAACTCCCGCTGTATGCAGTCACGGGGGAGTCGGCAAGCAGGGGTGCACATGTGCACCATGTACTCTGAACAGGCCAGAGACATACGGGTACATCGTCGTGGCCCATCGGCAAGTGGCTAATGCAGGTAATGCATTAACCGCTTAAGGACAGCCCTATAGCAGATATACTGCTACAGGGCGGCACCTGCGCACAATATCACGTATGTATACGTGACTTTGCATTTCTGGGTAGGGGGCGCGTGCCCTACCTACGCCCGCCATTTGTGGTCGTCAATCACTGGGTCTTCCTCCCTGTCAGCTTGAGCATGCTGCTCGGGATAGCTGTGCACTGTACAGCCACCCCGATCAGTGTGCTTACAGTGAAGAACGCACACAGTTAACCCTTGGATCGCCCCTCACAATAACCCCTTCCTTGCAGTGCCATTAGTACAGTGTCAGTGCTTTTTTTTTTTAGCTGACTGGAGATGTCAGTGACACCAAGTTAGTCCCCCCTCCCCCCAGTGTCAGAATGTCCACCGCAGTCCTGCTAAAAGTCACTGATCGCCGCCATTACTAGTAGGAATAAAAAAATATCTATACCACCATTTGTAAACGCCCTAATTTTCACGTAAACCAATTAATTTACACGTATTGGGTTTTTTTTTTTTCAGCAGACATGTCGCAGAATACATTTTGGCCTACATTTATGACTAAATTTTGAATTTTTTTTACATGTTTAATAGCAAAAAGTCCAAAATATTGTTTTTGTATTTTTTTTTTTTTTTTCAAAATTGTCGGGTTTTTTTTGCTTATAGCGCAAAAAAATGAAAACCGCACAGGCATTCAAATATTCAATTCAATATTCAATTTGTGGGAAAAAAGGACATAAATTTAATTTGGGTGCAGCGTTGCATGACCGCGCAATTGTCAGTTAAAGTAACGCAGCACCGTCATGCAAAAAATGGCCTGGTCATGAAGGGGGGTAAATCCTCAGGAGGGCAAGTAGTTAAGGTAAAAAAAACCTTTGGTGACTTTGACTTTAGAACCACTTTAATCACTTCTTTACTGCTTTATAGCCGAATGACAGCTACAGCACAGTCGCCCAGTTCTGGGAGGGCATCATATGACGTCCTCCCAGAACGTGCCCCCAGCGGCGCGCACCCGGCGCTGTTTGTGATTGCGGTGTCCTTTTTGGACACAGCTGATCACATGAGACATGGTAAAATGCCAATCACTGTGGCCTTTTACCACGTGATCAGCTGTGTCCAATCACAGCTGATTACAATGTAAATACATTTGCCGGTTATCCGCAGTACTTTCCTCACGCTGTCACAGCGTGAAGAAAGTTCTGTCGATAACCATTAAGTGTCAAAGGAGACATCTACACTGATAATCAGTGCAGCCCCTAAATTGCCCAGCAGTGCTGCCCATTAGTGCTTAACAGTGCTGCCAGTCAGTGCCCATCATTGCAGCCTCCGCAATGTACATCAGTGAAGGAGAAAAAAAAATTACCTGTTTGAAAAAAAATGTTTTCCCCCAAGATTTTTGGGGTTTTTTTTGTTTTATAGTTTAAAAAAATAAACCCAGTGGTGATTAAATACCACCAAAAGAGAGCTCTGTTTGTATGATAAAAATGTAATTGTAAAATGTAATTTGGGTACAGTGCTGCATGACTGCGCAATTGTCATTCAAATTGAGGCAGCACTGAAAATTGGCCTGGGAAGGAAGGCAGTAAAAGTGCCCAGTAGGCAATTGGTTAAAGAACGAAATTAATATAGTAATAGACCACTTTCTAGTTAATCAAAACTCTGGGTGATGTTCCTACCAATATATCAAGTTACTTATTAAGTATAACAGACAAGCGCTAATGCTGTAATGTATAGGTTGAATGAAAATTATCTACTGAAACAGAAACCTCCTGTTTGAATGAATAAAACTGGGAAGAATCACCATACTAAGTCATCAAGGTTACAGTAGATGTGGCAAACCTTGCAGCATGGCACAGGTGAGCACAGCAGTAAGACAAAGTGGATGTCGTGTATCATTAACCACTTGCCGTCCGCCTGCTGTTTTTAAACGGCAGGGCGGTGGCACGCCAGGGGCGGGTTGCCGTTCGTAATTGGCACCCGCTATTTCTAGTTGTGCGCGCTCCCTGGGAGCGCACAGCACTGCAGTCCGGTGCCCGCTGTATCCTCCAGACACAGTGAAACACTGATCGTCGGACGGGACCTCTGTACAAGGTTCCGATCATGTGATCACTGATTGGCCAATCAGTGATCACATGCAAAGTAGTAAGAAAGATGTCACTTGTGACATCATTGCTTACTACGTGTGAAATCTGTGAATGATCACAGAGGTCACATGGTACAAGGCTATTCACAACAGCCTTGTACCATGTGACAAGCTCTGACCAATCACAGCTCACATAGTATTTCTCAATAGCTGCAAGAATGCAGACAGAGAAATGATTGCTTTTACATCCTATATGGGTGTAAAAGCAATCACTGTAACAAAAAAAAAATCTTCATCACCCCCCCACAAGTAGTACAGTGTCATCAAGGTGACACTGTACTGCTAGGGTGACGGTATGTAAAAAAAAAAAAACATAATATAAAAAAATATAAAATAAAAATGTAAAAAAAAAATGTTTAAAAATTATAATTTTTGGTTATAACTAATTTGGCGTATTATTATTTTTTTTTTTTTTTACTAAAAAGATAACAGAATAAATTTCGGCCAGGATTTATGATGAAATATTATTTATTTGCAAAATTTTATAAGAAAATCACTTTTTTCAAAATTTTTGGACTTTTTCATTTATATAGCAAAAAAAATAAAAATCCCAGCGGTGAGTAAATACCACCAAAATAAAGCTTTATCTGTCTCAAAAAAAAATGGTAAAAAATTCGTATGGGTACAGTCTTGCATTACCACGCAATTGTCATTCAAAGTGTGATAGTGCTGAAAGCTGAAAATTGCCCTGGACAGGAAGGGGGTAAAAGTGTCCGGACAGGAAGTGGTTAAGGAGATGTTTTGAGGCAGATGTTACCAGAGACTAGGTTGAGAACTGGAAGCGGTGATTGGTCTCAGAGAGGCGTTCAGCAAATTAAAGGAATACATCAAGTTTGCTGCCCTTCAAAGAATTGTAACCAAAAAAACCCATTCATCCTAGGTGTGAATAAATCCAAATGGAGAATGAAAGTATTAGGTTGCCAAAAATTTCATATAATCAGTCCAGAGCACCTGATGCAATTTTTCTTCAGTTTGTTCACCAAAGGGCAAAGGAAAAGTACATGGATGTATATCTGCTTTGCGTGATTAGTTTGCTTCAAATTCATACAGTAAAATGTATTCATTTTACTGCACAAAAATGTACAGATGTAAATTGGTCCTAAATGCTGGGAAAATTCCTCTCATCCAGTAGACTGGACATGCCATTGGAAGGATTGGTGAAACATTTTTAAAAGTTTTCAGCAAGACTGCCTCTGCTTGTAGTGCCACTACTTAGATCAGGGGAGGCCTGTATCACTGAAAACAAATTTTAGCAGAGTCATTAATGCCCTGTTGCTGCAGCAGGGGTGCCGAGTTGGCAAGTCAACAGGTTTATACTGCAGAGGTTTCCTCTATAGACTGGGAGGTCTGAGTTTAAATTACACACAGGTGGACTATTTACTAATTAGGTGACTTCTGAAGGCAATTGCTTCCACTAGATTTTAGTTAGGGGTATCAGAGTAAAGTGGGCTGAATACAAATGCACACCACACTTTTCAGATTTTATTTGTAAAAAACTTTTACCATTTATCATTTTCCTTCCACTTCACAATTATGTGCCACTTTGCTGTGGTCTATCACATAACTCCAAATAAAATAAATTTACGTTTTTGGTTGTAATATTGTAAAAGGTGGAAAATTTCAAAGGGCTTGTATACTCTTTCAAGGCACTGTAGGTGTGTTATTCACTTTAGATTAGTTTTGCATCGCTAGTATGACTATTTTAAAATGTGCTTGACGCATATCAAATGCACACTGTGAATACATTAAGTGTTTGAAATTTGGTGTCAAGATGATTCCATTAGAAAAAACAAGGAATGGATCCGAGCAATGTTAAATGAAGATGGGAGGCTGTTTAAACCTAACACAAACCTATAGCGATCTGTGACAACAGGAAAAAATGGTATAGCACTTCCTCTTAACTAAAGCTGGGCAAGTTACTGTATAGCAATGCGTGAACTGTGTTTTAATATGTGAAAAAAATGACAATATATATAAACTCTGTGGGTGCTATAATACAGGAAGGGAGGTGCACTATAGTGCACAGGCATTCAGCTAATGATTTTTAACCAGTTTTTTTCACATTTTATGGTTTGTTACAATTTTTGTTTAGCCCAGTGTGGGAACTCTTTTTTTCAGATATATTGAATAGGGGGAGGTGCATTGTAGAACTTGGACTTTTTTTTTTTTTAAAGGGCGTTGATGGTTTCCCACATGATTTGATAATTTTTTTTTTCTAAGCACGATCAGCAGGGTTTGAAGTTTAAGGAGACAGTAGTACCCAGCAAATGGGGGAGGTGTATTAAAGCACCCACAGTGTGTATGTATGTGTGTGTGTATATATATATGTATACGTGTGTGTGTGTGTGTGTGTGTGTGTGTGTGTGTGTGGTATATATATATATATATATATGTATATATATATATATATATGTATATATATATATATATATATATATATATATATATATATATATATAAATAATTTATTTATTTATTTATTCCTCAGTTCTTTTCACCAGCTGTCAGTTTGACATAAAATTCTATGCTAGAAAGCAACATCAGGCTGGTGGATGACCGGCATCAGTATCAAAAATTATGCATTGTGGATAGCAGGACCAATTTAGTCCGGTTCTAGAGTTGGGGCAGGGACAGGTGGGTTTTATGCAATGAGAATGATCTGTTTACTGTTTTCTTGAACAGTGCCAACAATCCAAGAGGTATATTGGATGTCAAAGAGGCATTAGAGAAGGTTCAAAAAGTAGAAGATCTTTTACCAATAATGAAGGTAAGATTCATTTTGTATATACAGCTCACATTCAACATATTGCAATGAGTTTTGTGAAACTAGAAAAATTCAACCATAGGTTTACAATTGTAGTAATATTTAGGGAAGTCCAACCATAGGTTTTAAAGTACAGTAATATTGAGGGAAACCTATTATGTTTAGCTGAAAACAGTTGATACTGCCATATGCACGTTTCTTGGCTACCCTTGTAACAAGCATTAAAGTATGCTAGCAAACCTCAAATTTAATTATTTTGCCAATCTTTATCTGTTTGGTGTAGGTCAAAGTGGTTAAATGTATGGCACACAATTCATTTTGCTGCAATAGTGTTGTTGCCGCCTAATGTATACATTTTTGCTAGCTGATTTGGCAACATTTAAGCTGCATCATGGGATAAAAAATAAATAATTTTAAAGGCTCTTTTACTTGTCATTTGCCATCTTTAGTTTTCTGCCTATTCAGTGTTTTAATTTTGAGTTGAATACATTGGCCTAACACCACTGAATAGATTACCTTTTCAACAAATTTTGTTGCTGCCTAATTTCAGCTTTGCCAAAAATCACCTACAAGGATATACAAGGCAATAATGATTTTCTTAAACACAAATATACATAATTTTAATGTTCATCCCATAAATTGATAATACTTATATCTTACTTTTTGAAAGCAGTTAAACAGCAAAACAAGAGATGGGTTCACAGTGAACACAAAAGTTCCCAGCCTCAAAGATCAAGGGAAAGAATATGATGGATTCACAATAACTATAACAGGAGATAAGTAAGAAACACATTTATGTATCTGAACCTCCTTTTTATTATCTTCTTAGAGGCATTCATATTTTTTTCTTTCCAGTAAGCCATTTAGTATTTTACTTTTCCACAAAAAAGACTGAACGGGTAACGGAGGCCTGTATTTAAAGAGGCAAAGTGCAATTAGCCATAGACACTGATTAAAAGATTAATTTTTATGACTGTTAACTTACGATCGGTCGCTGTTGGCTAATGTACATCAGTTTTAGTTTTTTTATAATGTCCCTAACCCTGTACGATGTGAGTACAGTGCTCGTTTTAAATAACAGTATTTGTCTTGTAGAAATGAATGCTATCAACTTTAATTATTTACATGCTATTTCAGTGAATTGTTTGACAAACAATTGTAGGTAGGTGTAGCTGGCTACATAAGTACTCTATATTAGTAATGGTGAGAGAAAAAATTGTGTCAAACCTTATAAAAAAAAAAAAAAAATTAATAATGGTAACTTCCTAATTTTTATTCGAGTTTTAAGTTAAGGTTGGGTGGGGTAGAAATTTTTGTTTAACCACTTTTACCCCCTTCCTGCCCAGGCCAATTTTCAGCTTTCAGCGCTGTTGCACTTTGCATGTCAATTGCGCGTTTTCATGGTGCACCACTGCACCAAACAAAATTTTATCTTTTTAGTTTTTTTGAACTTTTAGAGCTTTCTTTTGGTGGTATTTAATCACCTCCTGGGTTTTTTATTTTTTGCTTAACTAAAAGACTGAAAATGTTGAAGAAAGTTTTTTTTCCTAGTTTGTTATAACATTTTGTAAATGAGTAATTTTTCTCCTTCACTGATGTGCGTAATGAAGCTGCAGTGATAGGCACTGACAGGCGTCACCGATGGGCATTGACCGGCATCACCAATGGGAAACTGATAGGTGGCACTACTGGGCACTGATAGGCTGCACTGAAAAGCATCTCTGATGGACACTGTGGCATTGATGTGCACTGGAAGGCACTGATATGTGGCAATGATGAGCACTGACAAGTGGCACTGATGGGGCTACTCTGATCACCAATGTAGATGTCCCCTCTAAGGAATGCCGCTTACCGCCTCTCCTCTCCTCACACGCTGTCAGCATGGAGAGAGGACTGGCGATAACCGACGTTTCCTGATTACATGTGATCAGCTGTGATTGGACACACTGACAGCCTGTGTCATCGGCTCTTTACTTTGATCGGTGATCCGCTTTGTCCCAGGGACAATGCGTATCACCGATTGCTGGGCGCACATGCTCATTTAAAGTTGGAGGAAGTCCTATGATGTCCTCCCAGAAAGAGAGCCACCGCCCGCCCGTCATTTCCTTATATGGTGGGAGTTGGTTAAAGTAGAAGCAAAGCCAAAGCTCTTTTTGGCTGTACATCTCCTGTGGATTTTCAGCTGACAGCAAGCTGACATCGTTCCAACTGGTTCAGGCTGTGGAAAGATCCTGACTTTAAAGTCAGGATCAACCCCAGAGTCTAGAGCGACACCTGACTCAGCCTCTCGGCGATCTACTGAGAGCCTGAGCCAGCTGCTGCCTCCTCTCCACAGCCTATCGCTCCAGTGAGTGTGGGAGGGGCAGAGCAGACAGCGGTGTGAGTGACAGTCACCACTCTCACAGCGGAAGTGTGAACTCAGCGGTCATGGGATCGCTGAGTTCTCACACCTGCGGGGGACAGATGCAGCTGGTGGTGCTGCATCCATCTGGATATGTATAATTTTGTGGGTGGGGACCCAACAAACTTCTTCTTTTAAACTCATTGCATTCAATGTAGGTGTCAGGATCACCTAATCTTTTATGTTGGGGTTTTTTTTGTTTTTTGTTTTTTTTTGGGCTTTACTGGAAAAGGATACTGAACACATACCTTTTTATGACATGTAAAATATCATTACCTCTACTTGTTTTTTTGTGTTAGTACAGCCAGAGTGACTTACCAGGTACATTGCTCTGCCTGTAGCTGCCGACCGTCCCGCAATACAAGTGGTTAATAAATTAAATGTGGTTTAAGGGTACCAACACATTTTCCATGTATGTGTGTGTACACTGTATATACGTATATTAAACAGTGCTTTTTGTTCTTCCTGAAAAGTGACCTGGTCAGGAAGGGGGCTGAAGTAGTTAAATAAGATTTAAAAGGAACACGTGAGAACTGAACAGGTTAACTGTGTCAAATTGTACTCTCTCCTAAATATGGTTATGTTTATGCCACAGGATGGGAGGAGTAAGGTAGATGTACAGCAATCTAGTTTCAAGGGGCAGCTTCTGAATCTTTATGAACACATCTGCTGTAATGATGTAGACAATTGCTAAATAGGAGCAGCTAAAATATGCATGCAGAGCAGTTTATTTTGGAAAATTTAAAAGAAACGGAGGTCACCACTTTATATTAAACTTTTAGATATATTAACCAAATTATGGATAGAATTATCTGTAATTCAGTTTATAAAACACTTGGGTACTGAGGGCTCAATCTCGATTACTTACGTGTCTCTGGGTTCCTTCACACAGGTGCTCAGCCCCATGCAGAAGCCAGAACTGTTTGTTTATGTTTTCCCAGAGCTAAGTATGCATGTAGGCAGCCCATAAAAAAAGTGAATAGGTATGCATAGGCTGTGCGGACTGATTGGCACAACCTTGTTTTGACAGGTAGGCAGGGATAGGTTCACGGACCTGGCCGATAGAGCCTGTGGGTCCAGGTCTGTGCATCCTTCCATGCATACTTTTCAAACTCCCTAAAAGGGAATATATAGTGGTCTTTTTGCATGTATTTTCTATTATGCTGTTGAATATGAAATGTTTTATGTGAATAGTTTACATTTTAAGCTGGCAGATAGAGCTGCAGGCTTATTTTCACATCTTACCTAGCATGTTTACAGAGCTTAAAGTGTTACTAAACCCACAAACAATAAAATCAGTCTGTATATATAGTAAAGCATGTTTGTTATACTCACTGTGAAACCTAAGGGGTTAATCCTCTGCATTGTGTAAAAAGGCTATTTGAGCCTGTCTTCTCTGATCCTCCCCTTCTTCCAGTGTCCCCCTCTTATCACCTGATGAGACATATTGTGTGGAGCCACTCTGCACATGCTTAGTTTGCTATGTATTGCTAGAGAGGGTGTTTTTTTTTTTTTTTTTTTTTTTTCCCCCTTGGGAGAGTGCATGTGATCAGCACAGGACCAATCAGCACTGTCAGGACAGAGGTCAGGGATTCTGCATCCTCCTAGATCAGACGGAAAACTCCTCCTATAAGCTTTAACCAGTGCTCACCTGGACTCTGATAGAATTCACAAGACTGCTATATACTGCTGATGAGAAAAGGTGTTTAGCAGTTTATATTTGCTGCTATAATTGTGTTTCTTTGTTTTGTGGGAGACCGGATATAGTGACTACAGGGTTTTGGGTTTAGTAACACTTTAACCACACTTGCTGAAGTGTATGTTCTCAGCTCAGAGTAAATCAGAAGAGTGAATTATCTCCCCCTCTAACTCTAAAGCCATTCCTGCTTAGAACAGAAAAGGCATATGGAGTTTTATTCAGCAACAGTAGTCTTCAGGCAAACAGGTTCTGCTGTACTTTTTCATTAGAAAACCTGTATAAAAAACGTAATCTGTTCTGTTTGAGAATGATTTCATTATTCCACAGTACCTTCAGCTACAGAGGTCAGTGAGAGCTTGTTATAAAAGCTCCTTTACTACTTGTTGAGAATATGTAAATACATGAATGTTAAAGTGATATTGAAGACTGAGGGTTTTTTAATAAAAAAAGTCATACTTGCCTGCTCTGTGCAATAGTTTTGCACAGAGCAGCCCCGATCTTCATCTTCAGCACTCCTGGCCACACACCCCCAACCCCCCCCCCCCCCCCCCCCCCCCCCCCCCGTGCTGAGAACCCCCATAGCAAGCCACTTTGCTATAACACACACAGCGCTGCTCAGTCCCACCTCTATCTCCTCACTGGTTGTGATTGACAGCAGTGGGAGCCAATCACTCCCACTACTGTTGCTCAGCCAGTGAGGAGCGAGAGACCCGGGAGAGCCACTGTTCCCATGCACAGCGCTGCATAGAGATCGAGCTCAGGTAAGTATTGGGGGGACTGTGGGGAGGGAGCAGCTCACAGAAGAGTTTTTGTATCTTCATGCATAGAATGCAGAAAGATGAAAAACCTTCAGCCTCCACTACCACTTTTAATAGCACAACCATAGGTAACACCTAATATAAAAATTCTGCTGACAGAGTTCAATGGTTCAAGCTTAAATTTGCATGCTTAAAGTAGAACCAAAGGCAAAATTTAATTTATTTTGGGTGGAGTAGGGAGGATTATAACCCCTGTAAGTGATTCTTTGCCATCTGTACCCTATTGGGGAGATTTCCCTTTACTTCTTTTCCCATAGCCACAACAGGAAGTGGGAGAAAATCTTTCCCAATGTGAGAAAAATCTGTGTACCAGGATTGTTGTCCTCATTTTCCCCTCTATCTCTGTTCTAGTTACTACTCAAAATTTTAGGATTTTCTTACGTTTCCAGTGTTAATGGTCACCAATAGAGAGGTTGAATCGGGGACACAGACACCAGTAAAAACCTGACAGGTGTTCTAATCTCTCTCCACTTTATCTAAAACCTATAAAAAAAAAAAAAAAAAAAAAAAAAAAAAAAGATTTTTTTGACTGCAGTTCTACTTTAAGTAAATGTGTGAATCTGTGAATTCGCTCAGTGTCCCTCAAGGCAGGGAGCCTGTAAAAAAAAAAAAAAAAAAAAAAAAAAGAGAAAATCGTACCAGTATAAAATAAAAAGGAAATAATATGTGTAAAGCATCCATTTAAAAATATATTAACAATGTAATGGCAAGTGTGTAAAGCTTTGCAGATGCGAAGTCACAGATGCACAGTCCTGCACCTATGGTGCAGGTAAACTGCAGCACAGCAGTACGAAGGCAGCCTTATAGGGGCTCAGAACAGTAAGGGGTCATTTATATTTGCAGTTTGGAGGTGGCAAAAGCCCATAATGAATATATGTTTTTACCACCCCTGCCCCAACCCTTTAGCTGCAGTAGTCAGGGGTGTACACATGCCGCAGCAGAAGTTGTACACCTTGTCATGGTTAGTGTGTGTAGCACCTGCGAGGCATGACCCATTCAAGTGGATGAGGCCCCTCTGCAAGTGCCTTGCAACCTTGTGCAGTACAGCAAGCAATGGGTTAAAGCAGGCAGCGTTGTGCTGCTTTCTCACCACCTGCTTTAACCCATTGGACCCTGCAGAAGCATGCAGTTGTGGGGCGCTTGCAGAGTCCCCATTTACTTGAAAGGGTCGCTATTGGCAGATGGTAGCACCCACCAAAATCAACAGGGTTTTATTCCTGCTGTGGCATGTATACATATTTGGCTGCTGCCACAGCAGTTAAAGGGAGCAGCGAATGAGGGCAGTAAAACCACGACTCAACCACAGGGTTTTACCACCTGCGTTCACACATGTGAACAAGTCCTAAGAGTGCCGTTGTTGAATGGAACTAAGGGCTCTGGCACTGTTGTTTTTCTTAAAAAGTTATCCAAGTGTGTTTGACAGGTGGTGAGGAGGCAATACGTTGCCACCTTACCACCTCTTTAACCCAAGATTGCCATAATACCATGTTTCAATTGTGTGCATTGCATGACAATTAGAGGTTTAAACCAGGTGTGAGGAGATGAAACTGAGCAACATTGTTCCCGGTGTTCTTTGACTTCTCCCATGTTGTTCAGGTAGATCTTCACCTCTATAAGGTTGCTTACTCCTGCTGAAGTGTATATGTGGTGGGTTTCTCCCAGGAACTATTGTTTCATTAATGAATCCAAAACTGGATCTTGAATCTGTGTGTCAGTATGACTGTGGTTTGGACATTCAAGTGTAAGCTTTGGGAGCAGGGACTAATGTGAGTATTTTTTTTTTTTTCAGAATATTTGGCACTATATAAATTTTAAAATTTAAGCCATTAAAATATTATTAAAACTAATCTTCTGACATCTTCCCTAAGGCATTTTTGATAATGTATGTTTATAATCCGTTTAATTTTGAATTGTAAAATTAATGTTAATTTATTTAAAACCGATTCAAATATCACTTTTCAACATTTTGATTGTTCTGTCTCTTTCAGAATTGGTAATATATTGTTCTCAGTGGAGACTCAAACAACAGAGGAAAGGACACAATTGTACCATGCAGAGATGGAATCTCTTTATAAGGAACTCACTGCTAAGGGAAAAGTATTGGTGCTTTCCACAGAGCTGGGAGTAAGTTTTTAAATCAGTTTGCATGTTCCTTGGGCCTTTGCAGGAAAAATGTAATGCACACAGTAATATATAGGCTAGCGTTTCTCAAACTGAGTAGGGTACTAGTCAGAATGTTTGCAGAGTACAGAATAAAATATGTACTGTCTAGCATAAAGATCTGTGTGTTTTTTGGACTGTTTTAAATATTTTTAACGTGAACATTTAAAATAGGCCATTGTAGGCTTCTTCCTGGGGCATGTCTTATTTACTCACACCAAGCTATATCATATAATGTATAGTTCATAGTAGTTGGTTGGCTTCAGCTGGACTTTTTATGTAATGTTGAAGATGTGTTGCAGCCTATTCGAGTTGCTTTTTCATGTCAGGATCAGGAACATACCTCAGGATTTGTAGCCAATCAAGTCGCATTACTCCAGTCACCATGGAATGTAACAAGACAGATGTCGATTGTCCAAAAGCAAGATAGAAATTGTTAAACTTTGGAGAAACACCCTGTTCTAATTACACAATCCTATCTTTCTGTGCTAGAAAGTCTGCGACCTTCATTAGGCCTTTCGTTTAAGGTGGCTGAAGTTGTGGATTGTTAAACTGCTGGAGTAGAGATATTAAAATGGCATATTTGGTGACAGATGGTGTTGAAGACCCTCATCCATGTTTATGGATGTTCCATTCTTTGTAGATGGCTTTGTTCACACCTCTTGCAAACCAGTTGTCTTCTCTGTCCAAAATGTGCAACTCAGTGTTCTCAAAGAATGTTTTCCTACCTGTGTTTGGTTAGATTTTTTGCTGAGAGGTTGTTTCTCCCCATTGTGAAGGTGTTTTGTACTCCTTGGTAAACCACAGTCCATTATACAAAGGTAATTTACTTGTGGTTGGATGTTGGGTCTTTTGGATGTACAATGGGGAAATGTTAGAACCTCTGTTAAATATTCATTACTATATGTCTTCCTGTCTTAGCGACAACCTATCCCTGCATTTATTGTCCTGCTGTTATGGGGACATGAGTTAAGGTGAAATTTCTAAAAGAAGTACTTATTCTTCCCAAGTATATTCACGACAAAAACAATTTTTTAGTGGTGTACTGTAAACTTACAGCTTCATTTTCAAGAATTGTGTCAGAATCCAGAGTGATTTGGAAGATCTAAAACTGCTTGGCATTATGATTGTCAAACTTGAGTATAATTACCTTTTAGTTTAGTTGATCTGGTGTTTTCAATACAATTGCAACAAAACTGGGTAGCTCACAGGATAAATGACTGTCTTTTTTGAATCAAGTGATTTCCAAACTGTGGTCAGTGGGCCGAATGTGGCCCTTTGCTTGCTTTTATTTGACCCTTGGGGCACTATTCTTCCCACTGATATGCAATACTCTCCCACTGACACCATTGGTGAGGCACGTTCCTCCCGGACACCAACAGTTGGGCGCCCTATTCCTCCCACGGACACCAACAATTGGGCGGCCCTAGTCCTCCCACGGACGCCAACAGTTGGGCGGCCCTAGTCCTCCCAATACAACAGTTGGGCGGCCCTAGTCCTCCCAAAACAGTTGGGCGGCCCTAGTCTCCCACAGGACGCCAACAGTTGGGCGGTCCCTAGTCCTCCCCCCGAATCCAAGTGATTTCCAAACTGTTGGTCAGTCCTCCCCCCGGGCCAACAGTTGGGCCCTTTAGTCCTTGCTTTTATTTGACGCCAACAGTTGGGCGCACCCTATTCCTCCCACTGGACGCCAACAGTTGGGCGGCCCTAGTCCTCCCCCGACACGCCAACAGTTGGGCGAGGCCCTAGTCCTCCCCCCGGACGCCAACAGTTGGGCGGCCCTAGTCCTCCCCCCGGACACCAACAATTGGGCGGCCCTAGTCCTCCCCCGGACGCCAACAGTTGGGCGGCCCTAGTCCTCCCCCGGACGCCAACAGTTGGGCGGCCCTAGTCCTCCCCCGGACGCCAACAGTTGGGCGGCCCTAGTCCTCCCCCCGGACGCCAACAGTTGGGCGGCCCTAGTCCTCCCCCCGGACGCCAACAGTTGGGCGGCCCTAGTCCTCCCCCCGGACGCCAACAGTTGGGCGGCCCTAGTCCTCCCCCCGGACGCCAACAGTTGGGCGGCCCTAGTCCTCCCCCCGGACGCCAACAGTTGGGCGGCCCTAGTCCTCCCCCGGGACGCCAACAGTTGGGCGGCCCTAGTCCTCCCCCCCCCGACGCCAACAGTTGGGCGGCCCTAGTCCTCCCCCCGGACGCCAACAGTTGGGCGGCCCTAGTCCTCCCCCCGGACGCCAACAGTTGGGCGGCCCTAGTCCTCCCCCCGGACGCCAACAGTTGGGCGGCCCTAGTCCTCCCCCCGGACGCCAACAGTTGGGCGGCCCTAGTCCTCCCCCCGGACGCCAACAGTTGGGCGGCCCTAGTCCTCCCCCCGGACGCCAACAGTTGGGCGGCCCTAGTCCTCCCCCCGGACGCCAACAGTTGGGCGGCCCTAGTCCTCCCCCCGGACGCCAACAGTTGGGCGGCCCTAGTCCTCCCCCCGGACGCCAACAGTTGGGCGGCCCTAGTCCTCCCCCCGGACGCCAACAGTTGGGCGGCCCTAGTCCTCCCCCCGGACGCCAACAGTTGGGCGGCCCTAGTCCTCCCCCCGGACGCCAACAGTTGGGCGGCCCTAGTCCTCCCCCCCCGACGCCCAACAGTTGGGCGGCCCTAGTCCTCCCCCCCCCGACGCCAACAGTTGGGCGGCCCTAGTCCTCCCCCCCGGACGCCAACAGTTGGGCGGCCCTAGTCCTCCCCCCGGACGCCAACAGTTGGGCGGCCCTAGTCCTCCCCCCCGGACGCCAACAGTTGGGCGGCCCTAGTCCTCCCCCCGGACGCCAACAGTTGGGCGGCCCTAGTCCTCCCCCCGGACGCCAACAGTTGGGCGGCCCTAGTCCTCCCCCCGGACGCCAACAGTTGGGCGGCCCCTAGTCCTCCCCCCGGACGCCAACAGTTGGGCGGCCCTAGTCCTCCCCCCGGACGCCAACAGTTGGGCGGCCCTAGTCCTCCCCCCCCCGGACGCCAACAGTTGGGCGGCCCTAGTCCTCCCCCCCCCCCGGACGCCAACAGTTGGGCGGCCCTAGTCCTCCCCCCCGGACGCCAACAGTTGGGCGGCCCTAGTCCTCCCCCCGGACGCCAACAGTTGGGCGGCCCTAGTCCTCCCCCCCCGGACGCCAACAGTTGGGCGGCCCTAGTCCTCCCCCGGACGCCAACAGTTGGGCGGCCCTAGTCCTCCCCCCGGACGCCAACAGTTGGGCGGCCCTAGTCCTCCCCCCCCCGGACGCCAACAGTTGGGCGGCCCTAGTCCTCCCCCCGGACGCCAACAGTTGGGCGGCCCTAGTCCTCCCCCCGGACGCCAACAGTTGGGCGGCCCTAGTCCTCCCCCCGGACGCCAACAGTTGGGCGGCCCTAGTCCTCCCCCCGGACGCCAACAGTTGGGCGGCCCTAGTCCTCCCCCCGGACGCCAACAGTTGGGCGGCCCTAGTCCTCCCCCCCGGACGCCAACAGTTGGGCGGCCCTAGTCCTCCCCCCGGACGCCAACAGTTGGGCGGCCCTAGTCCTCCCCCCGGACGCCAACAGTTGGGCGGCCCTAGTCCTCCCCCCGGACGCCAACAGTTGGGCGGCCCTAGTCCTCCCCCCGGACGCCAACAGTTGGGCGGCCCTAGTCCTCCCCCCGGACGCCAACAGTTGGGCGGCCCTAGTCTCCCCCCGGACGCCAACAGTTGGGCGGCCCTAGTCCTCCCCCCGGACGCCAACAGTTGGGCGGCCCTAGTCCTCCCCCCGGACGCCAACAGTTGGGCGGCCCTAGTCCTCCCCCCGGACGCCAACAGTTGGGCGGCCCTAGTCCTCCCCCCGGACGCCAACAGTTGGGCGGCCCTAGTCCTCCCCCCGGACGCCAACAGTTGGGCGGCCCTAGTCCTCCCCCCGGACGCCAACAGTTGGGCGGCCCTAGTCCTCCCCCCGGACGCCAACAGTTGGGCGGCCCTAGTCCTCCCCCCGGACGCCAACAGTTGGGCGGCCCTAGTCCTCCCCCCGGACGCCAACAGTTGGGCGGCCCTAGTCCTCCCCCCGGACGCCAACAGTTGGGCGGCCCTAGTCCTCCCCCCGGACGCCAACAGTTGGGCGGCCCTAGTCCTCCCCCCGGACGCCAACAGTTGGGCGGCCCCTAGTCCTCCCCCCGGACGCCAACAGTTGGGCGGCCCTAGTCCTCCCCCCGGACGCCAACAGTTGGGCGGCCCTAGTCCTCCCCCCGGACGCCAACAGTTGGGCGGCCCTAGTCCTCCCCCCGGACGCCAACAGTTGGGCGGCCCTAGTCCTCCCCCCGGACGCCAACAGTTGGGCGGCCCTAGTCCTCCCCCCGGACGCCAACAGTTGGGCGGCCCTAGTCCTCCCCCCGGACGCCAACAGTTGGGCGGCCCTAGTCCTCCCCCCGGACGCCAACAGTTGGGCGGCCCTAGTCCTCCCCCCCCGGACGCCAACAGTTGGGCGGCCCTAGTCCTCCCCCCGGACGCCAACAGTTGGGCGGCCCTAGTCCTCCCCCCGGACGCCAACAGTTGGGCGGCCCTAGTCCTCCCCCCGGACGCCAACAGTTGGGCGGCCCTAGTCCTCCCCCCGGACGCCAACAGTTGGGCGGCCCTAGTCCTCCCCCCGGACGCCAAGAGTTGGGCGGCCCTAGTCCTCCCCCCGGACGCCAAGAGTTTGGCGCCAAGAGTTGGGCGGCCCTAGTCCTCCCCCCGGACGCCAACAGTTGGGCGGCCCTAGTCCTCCCCCCGGACGCCAAGAGTTGGGCGGCCCTAGTCCTCCCCCCGGACGCCAAGAGTTGGGCGGCCCTAGTCCTCCCCCCGGACGCCAAGAGTTGGGCGGCCCTAGTCCTCCCCCCGGACGCCAAGAGTTGGGCGGCCCTAGTCCTCCCCCCCGGACGCCAAGAGTTGGGCGGCCCTAGTCCTCCCCCCGGACGCCAAGAGTTGGGCGGCCCTAGTCCTCCCCCCCCCGGACGCCAAGAGTTGGGCGGCCCTAGTCCTCCCCCCGGACGCCAAGAGTTGGGCGGCCCTAGTCCTCCCCCCGGACGCCAACAGTTGGGCGGCCCTAGTCCTCCCCCCGGACGCCAACAGTTGGGCGGCCCTAGTCCTCCCCCCGGACGCCAACAGTTGGGCGGCCCTAGTCCTCCCCCCGGACGCCAACAGTTGGGCGGCCCTAGTCCTCCCCCCGGACGCCAACAGTTGGGCGGCCCTAGTCCTCCCCCCGGACGCCAACAGTTGGGCGGCCCTAGTCCTCCCCCCGGAGGCCAACAGTTGGGCGGCCCTAGTCCTCCCCCCGGAGGCCAACAGTTGGGCGGCCCTAGTCCTCCCCCCGGAGGCCAACAGTTGGGCGGCCCTAGTCCTCCCCCCGGAGGCCAACAGTTGGGCGGCCCTAGTCCTCCCCCCGGAGGCCAACAGTTGGGCGGCCCTAGTCCTCCCCCCGGAGGCCAACAGTTGGGCGGCCCTAGTCCTCCCCCCGGAGGCCAACAGTTGGGCGGCCCTAGTCCTCCCCCCGGAGGCCAACAGTTGGGCGGCCCTAGTCCTCCCCCCGGAGGCCAACAGTTGGGCGGCCCTAGTCCTCCCCCTACTGGGCACAGGCAATATGTAATTTGTTAATCCCACTGACCACCAAACCTGAAACTTGTATTTCCATTGACCCTGGGGCATTTTCTACTCCCACTGGCCACAGTCCAGCTCAGCTAAAGTCTGAAGGAATGTAAACTGGCCCTTTATTTTAGACGGTTTTAGACCCTTGTTATAGTCAACACAGTAATAACCCGTTTTTCATTTTTCTTTGTATTAACAATTTTTATTGATTTTCATTTTTTATATTATATATATATATATATATATATATATATATATATATATATATATACACACACGAGAGAGCACATCGATGGTGAGGTCTGCTTGGTTACAAACGTAATAATGTCATATAGCTACAGTGGGGAGGCCATCAGATTTCTACATTTGTAGAAAGGTGGGAGGAGGAGAAACTGCCTCGAGCACAGTAGTCGAGCAGCCAACACATAGGAATGCTTCTTCTGGCCGCAGTCAGAATATGTGTGGTGAGTTTCCTGGCCATTTTGGGAAGACCTGGCAATGTTTTTCATTTATTTAACAATACTTTTTATTTGTCAAAATTACAGGTTATATTGCTCCGGTGCTTTAGCTTCATCAGTAATGTCTCTATATCCCAGCCTTAATGTGTGCCTTTATATTTTCAATACAAAAATTCATCGCACATTCCTTCTAGTCAGCACAAAAAAACTAAACTTTTAGTTAAACGCCTGTAAAAAAACAAAAAACAAAACTTTTTGTTCCATGCATTCGGTATTACATATAGTGTCGCATAATTGCATCAAGGCACCTTAATAAAGTGTGGCTCCTGTTTAGTTGACTTTACAATTTACAAGCTGACCCCAAAGTACTGTTTAATTCGGCAACTATCTAGCAAATGAGGTTTAATGTTGATAAATGTAAGGTTATGCACTTGGGGGCTAAGAATATGCAGGCATCATACATACTGTGGGGGGGTACAGTTGGGGGAATCAATGGTGAAGAATCTGGGAGTTCTGGTAGATCACAAGCTTAATAATGGAATGCATTGCCAAGCTGCGGTTTCTAAAGTGAGCAAAAATGTCTCTTGTATTAAAAAAGGTATAGACTCCAGAGAGAGAGATATATAATTTTACCCCAGTACAAATTATTCGTATACCTCATCTGGAATATGCAGTTCAGTTTTGGGCACCAATTCACAAAAAGAACATTGGGGAACTGGAAAAAGTACAGAGAAGGGCAAGCAAACTGATAAGAGGCATGGAGGAGCTCAGCTATGAGGAAAGATATTAAAAAAAGGTTTCTTCAGTGAGAGCTGTGAAAATGTGGAATAGACTCCCTCACGAGTTGGTTCTGGCCAGCTCAGTAGATTGCTTTAAAAAAGGCCTGGATTCTTTCTTAGATACATAGACTGTAACTGGATATCAACATTTATAGATAGTTGATCCAGGGAATATCCAACTGCCTCTCGGGGGATCAGGAAGGAATTTTTTTTCCCCTGCAGGAGCAAATTGGATCATGCTTTGCAGGGGTTTTTGTATGTTTTTTTGTTTTTTTTTTTGGTTTTTTTTTTTTGCTTTCTTCTGCATCAACTGTGGATATAGGTTTATAACTTTTTTTTTTTTTATGGTTAAGCTGGATGGACTTTTTCCAACCAGACTATGTAACATTATTTGAAAATGTATATAAAAACCCTGCGTTTTTTAACCTGAGCTGTTTAAAACGTTTAGTTAGATTTTGTGCTGACTAGCTGGAAAGTGCTGGGGAATTTTTATAATTTTGTATATTGTCCTGCCCTTTCCCTTTTTATTGATCAGAGTGACTGCCATTTTTGTTTAATGCATATTTTGGTCTTGCAATCTTAACGTAATAGTATTCCCATGTATGTGCAAGGGCAACCTTTTTAAGATTTTGATTCTGTGAAGGATTGATAAGGGTTCCTCTACAAGAAGTCATGATAATTAACATGACCAATTCAGGTGGATTGATCTCCCTCCCAACAGTACCTACACAGTTCCAGTGCTGATGTCACTCAGCAGAGCCAACAGTACAAAACAAAAGGATGACACTAAACAATATTCTTATTCTGCAAATAAAATCCATACACATTCACTACTTAATGGCCCTGTAATCTATTTTTCATAAAATTGTCTTACTGTGTTCCTCTGCCTCCTTGTAACATCCTTAATATGCACCAGATCCTCTTCTTTTCTCTCTCACTTCCATTTGTTTGTAATGAACAGGGCATGTTCGTTGCAGTCATGAGTTCTGCTCTATGCACACTACAAATCCCACAGTTCCTAGTTCAACTTGGAAGAGTGGCTTTGTTCCTACATAGTGTGACCATGGAAAACAAATGTAGGCACTCTCTAACAGGAAATTGGATCTCAACAATAAAATAAGGCATGTGGAGGCGGTTGAGAGCAATAGAAGGAATTTTTCTGAGTTACAAATATATACTTAAAGTAGAGTTTTTAGTGTCACTTTAAGTAATAACGAACACCTATGATCTAATTAGCTATAAGGGTATTCTTCCCACAAATGCCCAATGTAAGAGGCATTCTTCCTCCCACTGAACAACAATGTAAGGTGGCCCTTTTTCCCACTGATCGCCAATTTATGGGGCATTCTTCCCAATGAACATTATAAAGGGCATTTTGGCTCCCACTGCCCACCAATGTAAGGGGCATTCTTCTCCCCCCAACCACCAATGTAAGGGGCATTCTTCTCCCCCCAACCACCAATATAAGAGGGTTTTTTCTTCCCACTGACCACCAATGTAAGAGGGCATTCTTCTTCCCACTGACTTATGGGGCACTTGTTCTTCCACTGGCCATCAATGTAAGGTCAGTCATTCTCCGTCTGCCAACCAGTCTACGGAAACATTTCTCTTCCTCCTGACTGTTGTAATGTAAGGGGGTATCGCAGATGTATAGTTACAGCTTCCTTTCTAGTAAGAAAACCATTGAGCTCCATGGTAGTGTCATAACCAAATCTTACTCCATTTCTAGATGTTCCTTTATAAGAATTGAATATATTCTTTTGAGGTCCACACCATGGCCCCTTTTTCCTGTGATCTTGCATTTACACTGAGCTCTGTCTTTTGCTGTTCTCTTCAGTTGCCTAAACATTCCTAGTTTTAACAGTGCTTTCTCAATGTCAAATACAGAACACTTCCTGATTCCTCCTTTATGAAGTCTGGTCATTTCTCCTCTCAGTGAGGGAGAGGTGGGGCCAAGTCCTGCTGCGTAAGTCTATGGAGTGTGGCCCCATAGACACACAGCTTGGTAACGCGCAAACTATGTGCCCCCATAGCGAACAGCTTACTATGGGGACACATTAAGAAGAGGAGGAGCCAAGATCGCCAGTGCGGGATCTGAGAAGAGGAGGAACGGGGCTGCTCTGTGCAATACCACTGCACAGAGCAGGTGAGTATAGCATTTTTGGTTTTTTTCATTAAAATTTTTTTTGAGTTTACGAACACTCTTAAGTTATTCTTTCAATTGTCCTATATATTTTCTGTTGGCAGTCGACTGCTTTTGCAGACATTACAGCTCTCTGTATTTTCAAGGTGACTGGAAAGTACTGTCATATTTATAGTACACCCTTCACTCCAGCCTCATAGTTATCTGGTTTCATTGTGTATTTTAATTTTAATGATGAAACATTCTATATTTCCTAATTGCTCAAAAAAAGCAGCATCCCGCCCTTCTGTTAATGCAAGCTCAGATACAGCTACAATATACTCAGGATTTGCTGATATGTTTGTTTTTTTACGATAAAATATACAGTATATGCGCATGTGGACTGTTTTACTGTGATACACAGTACAGGAATGAGTCATTGTCTTTGAAGCTTTTAACCTTGTCTCTTGTATAGTCATCGCTGATGCCTAGTATGTTTCTCATCTTTGGTTTCTAGGAGGCAGATGTTGTGTGTGAACTCATTCTGTCATTGGTGTATTATTTCTACAATTTAGTACCGCTCTCCAGGGGATCCAGGTCAGTGTCATTGATCTTATTCAAATATTTGGAAAGCACACACTTTTTGTTCTTGCTTTTCTTATTCAGTGAAATGATTCAGCAGTTTAATTAAAATGAATGACTTTGCATATAAGAATTGAAATAAGAAGGGGTAAATTTTGTTACCCACAGCAGGCAATCAAGTGTTTCCTTACATAATATGCTCACAGCTGAAATTTACTTATATAAAGGGAAATAAAGGAAAATTGTAAAAAAGACTAAGACCTGGTTGCATTCCTTAGCTATTTCATTGAAAACAGTATAAAATACAACCTTTTTATGTCTGTAGCACTGAAGGTAGTATTCTATATACAGGTGTACCTCAGGTTAATGTAATTTTCGGTTTACGAATGAAAATCCATTGCAAATCATGCCTCGGTTTACACATTTTTTTTCAAATTTTTCTCGCAATACGAAGTGTATGTTGGTGCCGATTTTTAAATGCAATTGCTGGCTTATTTTCCCTTCACTATAGTTCACAGAATTAGCTGTCACTTTCCCCGGGGTTAATGGATACTTTGTTTCTTTTATCTCAGGAAACAAACTAAAAGGAAATGTTGCTTCTTTTAGCTGGGGGGAAAGTGACAGCTGATTCTCTGAGCTATAGTGAAAGGAAAAAATGGCAGTAATTAAATTTAAAAACCGGCATGGACCTACAGCGACTTTTTTTTTTTTACGTTTTTGTCTGACCTGGAATGGATTCATTGGTTTTCAGTTAATTCCTATGGGAAACTGCATTTTCATTTACAAATTTCTCGCAATACGAAACTTCCCAGAGAACGCATTAAATTCGTAAACCGAGGTACACCTGTAATTTAATATTGGCATTTTTGTTGGTCCTATGTGACTAAACTTTTCCTGGTAGTCACAGGTAGATTTTGAACATTGTCATCAATTGTATAAGTTTGTATACATTTTTCTATTCTCTCAGCAGGCTAAGGGTGGTATGGGATCTGTCAATGCATGTTCTGATTGATAGATTACCAGAACACAATTTTTTTTATTTCCACCACAGGTCATCAACACAGTCATAATAGCAGCGCTATTATGTTCTGCCAACAGTGAGCCTTCCCTGTTGGTAGAGCATAATTAGTGTTGCTGGCTATAGCCGGCTGCATTTATCATTCGGGAAACAGGCTGGTTGTACACAAGTCGATCAATAGATCATCTTGTGTACAACCACCCAGCCCATACATGGATTGAAATTCAGCCAGTCCCTAATGAACCGGCCAAATTTCACTCCATGTATGGCCGGCTTTAGTTGTTAACCCATACAAATTGGAGAAATAGTAGATTTCCATGTCAATAGGTATGTGTTGTCAACCCTCTAATTTTATGCTCGTAAATAGCAACCAGACATAGGTAAACATGGACTCTTGTGAGTGTGCAATTATGAATTGTATTCTTTGTAGTTGGTCAAAAAGGGGTTAACCGCTTCCAAATCCAAGACCTAAAGAAATTTCCTCATGTTGAAAAGTCATGAGTTTTAGCTGTTTTTTGCATACCAGATTTGAGTACTTTTCTGCAGTCCTGCCCGGAAAATAAAATAAGTAGCTGAATGAACACATCTGGGTGAAAGATATTGAATTATTTTGTCTAAAGTTATTTACTACACATTCATAGAAATGTGCTGGCTCCAGGACATTGACATCAGCAAGTGACTTCTGTTAAACATTAGAATGATTAGTGTTCTGGAGGAAATGTATTCAATACTAAATACACTGTTCATATAAGAATAAGTAACTGGTTTAAATGCCAGGTGATTTGGAACTCTTTTCAGCCACGGTTTTGATTCATGCACCCTTGACGACTGCCTAGCCAAGTCAGTAATTCACTTTACTCCAGTCCAGTTAAGCAATGCAGTTTGGTCATCATTGAGCATCTAAATTTTAACAGACAGATGAGAAATTGGCATTTTCAGAGGTCCGCAATGGCACACCCTGTATTTTTCCGATTTACAGGTTTCTTTTAACGTACAGCTGGATAGCAAGAAAAAATTCCACTAAAGTAATTTGTTGATAAAAAATAATGTTGCCATGATTTAAAATTTGTGAATATATGTGCCAGTTTTAAGGGGTAATAAACGCAAAAGCAAACCTTTTTATTATATTGCAAGTTATCAATTCTTGGATGTAGTGGCTGTAGTAGTTTTTCTTTCTTTCTCTTTATCTTTCTCTTAGCAGTTTGAGGGATGAGACAAACCATTTACTACTGACAGGGGTGCTTACAATGATCAGTTTTTATTTATTTATGTAAAACCTTTATGCCAAAAGGAAAAAAAATCTGTTGCTGTAATTGCTTCAACTTCATCCAGAGTGTACAGGTGATGTTACTGGTCAGTTAACCAGGTGAAAACAGGGTAAAAAACCTTAAAAAAATAAATCTAATTCCGCCACCATATCTAATGATTGGCGAGTTGAAGTATATAGAATTTTTGAAATGTATGGTTTTGAGTTTATTACCGCTTTAAGCATAGCTAAAGGTAATTGATAGTGCAGAGGTATTAGAATACCTGTCAGGTTTTTTTTTTTTGTTTGTTTTTTTTGCTGTGCCCCCTTTTGGGAGCTTTACTCTCTCTCATTTTGTCTTATCACTAAGAGTGTAAGTGAAGATCCAACATTTTGGGCTGTCACCAGCACAGGAATAGAGGGAAAGTCTTCAAACAGGAACACTAGTCCTGGTGTCAACCAGTGATTCCCTCACTTTGGATGGTTTTCCTTTTCACTTCAGTTTTGGATGTGGGACAGGAAGTGAAGGGAAATCTCCCCAATGGGACACAGATGGCAAAAAAAACCTGACTGAGTTTTGCCTTTTGGTTCAATTTATTACTACTTTTGGAGCAGTTTCACATTTTTCAGTAATTTTGTATATGAAATGTTTTCCACAACTTTATCTACTATTGTATACATGGACAGTTATAAGTATTTATATAAACTGATGAATCTACCAGAGTACCATTAAGCTGAAGTTTAAGCATTCATATTTTTGCAGAGTTACATTGGTTCAGCTTGGGCCAATGTAAATATGTATGTAATATACCTAAAAGACCCATACGGAAGCTGGAGATCACTGTAGTAAGCACCACTACTACAGTGATTGCTGCTAGCTTCCACGTCCCATGCCAAGCAGCTGCCCTACTGCTTAATGAACACAGGAGGTTTTTCACTTGGCACAGGCACCATTTAAAGATTGCTTTGCATTCATTGCAAAAATAGTGTTTTCTGTATGGCACCTGTGACGAGTGAGCAACCCTGTTCACTAAGGCTACGTTCACACCTAAGCATCACATTTTCAAGTGTTTTGTTCAAGTGTTTCTTCTCTAGTCATCTTCCAGGACTGCACACCTGAGATGACTAGCTCCACCTGACAGGAAACACAATCAACAATTGACAGAATTTAAATTCCCCACCCTTTGCTCCACTACTCTGTTTTTAATTGTGTTTCCCTGTTAGCGAAACATTTGTCGTTTTGTGGACCTAAAACCTGGGGCTGGACCATGAAATGCTTCTCGGGGTGAGGACTGCTGGCCGGCAGATGGAGTCACATGGCACGCCCCTGTAGGGTGTGTGGGGAGGCCGCGGTGGAGTCCGTTACTAGTGTTCCTTCAGTAAAGAGCCCAGGGCACAGGACTGGAAGTGGGAGCGAGGCTGCAGATCAAGCCTTGATCCCAATGGTACTTGGGTGGGACTTCCTGCTTAAAGATGATGGTGCTGGTCGGCATTTTTCTCCGTTGCGCGGTTGGTGAGGAGCCTCCAGGTGTTATCCCTGAGTGTAGGAACCCAGGAGCCCAGCGAAGGTGTCGCAGTTCCAAAGGGCCGTGCTAAGATGGAAGGCGAGGCAGTGGCTGCAGCCAGCGAGAAGACCATGGGGGAGAGGAGTGGGGTTAGAGACCTTACCCACTCCCCTACAGGTGTAAATAGGGGAAGGGAATACATGTTAAGTTGGGCCCGTTTCTATCCTTGATTTTTTTTTTTTTTGCTATTATATTTTTATTAATTTTAATCATGTATACAAACATTATTCCAGTTACAAATACAAATCTTAATTTTTTTTTTTTTTATACCAATTACCCCCCCCCCCCCCCCAATTGCCCACATTTCCTTTTAACTATTTTATTTTTCTTTCTCCTTTGTTGTTCTTCTAACTATCTGCACCTCTCTTTTCTCCACCTTCCTTTCTGTTACTCTCCTTCAAGACCCTCTTTCCTTTCATTAATATTTCCTTATATTTTTAAACTCCCAATCAATTGTAGATATTTCTTTGATGTTTTAAAGTCACTATCTTTCCCATGTTTTTTAAATTTTTCAATCTTCTCCTCTACAATATGATATAGTTCTTCCATCGTATGTATGTATGTATAGAGATATAGATAGATAGATATATATATATATATATATATATATATATTCCACTCTATATAAATCCAATCTTATTTTTGGAGTCTCCTGCCCCTTCCAAAATCTAGGGATCAATCCTTTGGCTGTATTTATCAAATGGAATAGCAGCATGTTCTTAAATTTTTTCACTGTAAACTCGGTATTATGGAATAAGCAAACCCAAGGGTATCTCTTGTATTTGTTGGATTATCACTTTCCAAAACTGTGTATCTTGTGGCAATCCCACCATATATGTGCCATTGTACCTTAGTCCCTCACCCCCATCAACATAGAGGTGAACTCTCACATCATTGTTTATGTGCTACACTAGGTATACCACCTTACTAAACATTTTATAATTAATTTTAACAATATATCCACTGCACCATGCATTAATTTAAATATTTTCCCCTTTTGCTGCCCATTCAATTTTGTTCCAAGTTCACTTTCCAATTTCTCTAAGACTGGTGGAGAGACAGGTCCAGATATTGTACTCTTATAAATGCGAAAGGTGGAATGTTTCTGTGTTTTATATCTCAACTAAGCATCTCTTCAAATGCATGCATGTCCTCCCCCACCCTTAATGGCTGCTGGAGCACTGCA